ATTACGCAATTGTTTAATATATTTTATCTAATCATAAAAAGGTCATATGATATATATGACTCACTTATTAAACTTTTTTATTTTTCAAGCTATATATATATTTTATAGGCCTCATTGAGTCAAAATTTATATGAAACATAAAATTAAGATAAGTGCCACAAAAAAGAATATTTCAAAACCCAAACCAAGATATAAAATCTTATAGGAAAATTATTTAAATATCTAGGTTCCGGACTCCAACGGTTCCCGTTTTCTAGTTAAAAATCCGACCTACCGTATTGTCGCGGGAATAACGGGCGTGAGCGTTATTTAGAAAATCGTACCCTATGAAAATAGCATAGATGATTTCACATGCGCGTCCCGAATAATAAATTAATTTGGTCATTTTGAAAGCCGATATTAAAATAAATTTCGTTTTTGCAGATTTAAATATTGAAATTATTGCAAAATACAATAAACAATTTTAGCATTATATTCGCTAAAATATAAATTATTTGAAATAGTAACAGAATAAAGATATATTTATACACTAAGCATATACAAATACAGTCGATACTGTCTAAATGCATATGGTCGGGAAAGACAAAAAAAAATTAATTTTATGCATTTATACAGTATTAACCAATCAGATATCAGAAAATTAACTGTCTAAATACATAAGCTTATTATTATTAATTTTTTTAAAAAAATTATGCATTTAGATAGTATCAACTGTATATAGATAATTATAATAAATGCTACGTATTGCTTTGTATTTTAATATACAGCATTGAACTATATAATTAATACTCAATTCGCTATTGCTATTGCTGTATAGAATTTGATTGTAATATTAATTTTTTGTTTCCAGGTTTTTTTGATGCTTAAGATTATATTACTAATATCTATAAATATAAATTCGTCGTTCATTTCAACATTCGATTTATCACATCTTCCATATTATAATCCATATTTCCAAGCCAATTATGGTTTATTACAATACTATTATTTGTTGACACATTAACTTGCAATTGACTATCGGAGCAGAATAATATATTGATGATTCTTCAGTCATATTAATGAAATAAGTTTGATATATTCGAATTCAAAGATTTATTATTCTAACAATTACGTTAATTAAATTTTTTATACTAATTACGTCAATCTTTGATTTATATCATGGGCACTATCACTATATGCAACGTATATTTTAGAATTTTAAATACTAAATTTAATTATGGTATATTGCAATTTTCGCAATTACTATAATTAAAATATTTTTGCGCAAAAACTATTTTGTTTATTAAAATTAAGTTGATAACTTAAATAACGCGCACCCCGTATAAGGTGTAAAGTTGCAGGTGAAACTGGTGAAAATTTGGTGAATGCTGGTGAAACTGGGGAAAATACATATAATAGCCAATAAGAAACTCGGGTTGAAATTATGGCAAAACTCAAAATTGGTTCTACCTACAACTCTAATAAAGTGTCAACCCAGGTATATAATAATTTGAAACCCAATTTCGGGAAAATTATCTTCGTCTCAAAATAACGCCCATGCGCGTACTCTAAATAACGCGCATATATTCAAAATAGTGTATGTAAACGGGCACTAAGCGAAATATCCAACCTACAATATTTTAAGAATCTTTTAATTCATATATTTAAAAAGGTTTAATTCATAACATTCATGAAAAACGGCCAATTCATAACATACAGCATAATAGTGGCCAACCCATAATATTCAGGAATAAGTGATTTATAGATTTTATAAAATAACGATGCAAATGATCAAACTGAAAACTCGACGTAGACGTATTTTGTATTTAGGCATACATTGTTTCTAATCTACGAATGACATATAAATTGAAGAATGACGCGTAACAAGTACACGTTTACAACAAAGATTAGTAATAATAATATTCTGGGTTATCAATGATTACTTTCTTTATTGTATGATTCAATGAGTTGTATAATCGCGTGTGATAATATAAACTTATAGAAATGCTATTTAAAATTAACACATTCTACTGTATTTATTCGTATACTAACGGTTAATTTTTTGTTATTATACTAGCTCTGCCGTCTTCATATTAAACTTTAGGACTAATGCACACATAAAACTCAGTCCTATAAAATATCGTCGTTTTATTACTATATCAATATATGAACTAAATACCATGGCACGTCTTTAATAAAAGTTATATTGATAGATAAAATAGAATTGCTATTTAACAACAAAAAGTAAAGCTTCGTTAATAATAATTTGTCGTAAATTGCCGTATAAAAGACCCGAGTCTAGTATATTTCACCAATTTAAACCCCATTATTAGACCGGCTTACAGTGATAATTACTTAAATCATAAACGATTTCGGTTTATTGATTGTGTAAAACCTTTTTGTAATATAGAAATATATAAAAAATCTACTTCATAATTTTTTGACAAACCATATTTTTAAAAATTTTATGTTTTATTTCGCATATCTACATTCTTTATTAAACGATTTCGAATTAACAAATTTTATTTAATATTTAACAATAATTTCTTTATATAAAAACTGTAATGTTAAATAACCTAAATTTGTCGGTCGGTCGGTCTTGTAGAAATTGATTTTGCGCAATATATAGACTATATTTATACCGGTATTAAAAAAGGAAAAAAAAATCAACTGCATCATAATTGAAAAAAGCCAAGTAAGGACGTTCACGGTAACTGTGGCCACGAAGAGCTTTTAATTGCTGGATTTTATGTACCCGTTCCTCACCTACAACGATTAATAACCGATTCCAGTCCACCCGATCCTCTTAAGACTTAAATTAGTCCTGCGAACATGAAATCAAAATAACCGAAGTAGTAACCCCTAAAGCCATTGGAAGAAGTAATAGACGTTCACAACAAGCCGTCCACTGTAGGTCTCAATGCCTAGTTGGTAACTGTCGCAAGTTGTGGCCCGATACGCTTCTATTGTCCTCAACCTTCGGTTGAAAAGTCGCGAAAAGTTACATACAATCAGTCAGCAACTATTTAGTAATTTTCACTATAATCATGCCAGAAAAGCATGCATTAAGCGAGCTTTTCTTTCACTTGTTCCACAGACGTGATTGCAGTATTTACTAGTGAGAACAACCTAAACTTTACGATACATCACCTTGTACTATATGTATTTGATGTCGACCTTCCACAGTATCTCTTCGATTAACGTAAAAACTATACAAAGATTTGTAGCTATTTCACTATAAAATTTGATTTGTTTTAATTTTGGTTTTAATAATTCTTTATCTACAAGAATGTGTTAGCATGGAAATGTAAAAACGTTAAAGAAAAAAAACTTACAGAAAAAAATACAAAGGCGGGTTTATGTATTTACTGTTTGATTTATTTTAATTTTGGCTTGGATAATTCTTCACTTACAAGAATATGTATGATAAAAGATTATTGCATAGCATAGAAAAACAAAAGCGTAAAAGAAAATTCTATCATAGGTCCCCGCCACGCAAAATTTTATCAAAATATTTCTTGTGAATCGGATTTTTTTTATAATTTAGCGAATCAATTTTACGGAACCTTTAAGATTCATTAGTAATGCGAATCATTTTTCATGTACTAGAACCTTTCGGATTATTTTCTGCTTCGGACCTGAGTTAATAAGTCGAATCAACTAATAGCGGTAATTTTTATATTCTACGTATACATATGCGAACCTAATTTAGGTCGATGACCTTTTTTTTTCTGCGAATCATATAAACCGAGGACTTCACAAGACTATAATAATTCCAGATTGATAATATATGACCTATAATAGAGTTTTCCAATCCTGTCAAAAATCACAACTCGGATTTTGACCGGATAATAGTTCTTGGGTGAAAAAATGCGTGCAAATCTCTAACTAAAAAACATGGTATAATTCGGAATTAGTAGAATGTAATTTTAGATTACAATGTTTTTTATGCTGAATAATTAAACTGCGAGATAAAACTTTGACGATCAAATATTTTAATATATCAAAACTACTAGAACTAGTTCAGTTTATATAATAAGAACCGAATGAACTTTTTAACATCCCTAGTCAGTAGCATACAGCGAAAGCGTTCGCTATAGATATCAAAATTTGGACAAAAGTTTTCCTTATGCGATTTTATTCGTACTAAATTCTGACTTAACAGATGTATAATTTTTTCGGTCACGCGATTTTAAATTGGTCAATCATGTGAAAAGTGTCAAATTTGTCAAATCAGCAGCTAGTTTACCCGGTCCAATTAAACTTGGAAATTAGGTGAATGCGCAGATTACACGCATTTTTCCCTTTGTCACGAACATGACGGATATAGAATTGGAATTAGAGGATGAAAATGAGTCGTCTAATGCACCAGAAACAGTTAATGCTCAGGGAACGATCTTTGCAAACAACATTAAAATAGAGCAACAAAATAATGACCCTATTTTGACCAAAAAAGAACTATACGCATGGTAAAAAAAAATTATTATGTAAATAGAGAAAGGCAGGTACTTTATTAGAGTTCCTAATAGTTTATTAAGGCTCACAGGCTGTTCCATCTAAATTGAGGAGTTATAAAAAGTTATTAAGAAATGGCTAAAACTTAGAGATTCGCATCAGAAAAAAAAAAAATAGTTAGAATACCAGCCTTTTTCTGTCTGTTACGATCACCTCACGAATTATATTTTTAACTATAATATGTTTATTTAGGTACCTTTATGCATTTGCTTGCGAAGTGTATTCAGTTGTATCATTATCAAGCTTCATACCATTGATCTTGGAACAATTCGCTTCCGAACAAGGTGTTCTCAACATTAATCATGAAATCGCATGTAAAAACTCCACTGAACTTAGGACTTTTGAAGAAGTACGCTGTGTAGTCAACATTTTTGGGTTATGGGTTGATACAGCCTCGTTTAGCTTATACACCTTTTCATTTAGTGTAATTCTACAAGCTATCACTGCAATATCTATCGGTGCAACGGCTGATCACGGTGCAATGCGCAAAACTTTATTAATAAGTTTTGCTTTGGTTGGAAGTGTATCTGCAATGTTATTTTTACTGGTCACTCCTCCCATGTTCTTACTTGTCGCAATAATTGCTATTATAGGGAATGTCTGCTTTGGTGCCTCCTTTGTTTGTTTTAATGGTTTTTTACCAGTTTTGGCGAGAAATCATCAAGATGTAAGAAAAATTTCTGACAAAGTAAAATTACTTATAGCTGACAAATCAAATCTTTCAAATGATCAACAACCTTTTTATTTGGATGATGACAATATCAGTGATCAATCAACTACCAGACTTCTAAATCTTGACAATAATTCCGATGTTACTTTGTATAATCTTTTGAATGAACTGACAACAACGAAAGAAAAGATTTCAACTCATATATCTGCGCGTGGTTTTGCGTCTGGTTACTTTGGTGGCATAATTCTTTTATGCATTTGTTTTATTATCGCTTTTATTCTACATTCCTCCGTTTTTAGCCTTCAAATTGGTGTGTTTTTATCCGGAACATGGTGGTTTTTATTTTCTTTACTTGTTGCTAAATGGCTGCAACCAAGGCCTGGTCCTCCCTTATTTTTGGGTGATGGAAGAAAAATAAGATGGTTCGATTATGTTGTATACGCATGGAAACAATTGTGGAAGACCATCATACAAGCAAAAAAGTTGGAAATGACTTTTAAATTCTTGATCGCTTGGTTTTTTATATCTGATGGTAAACTTTGATATGCTAAAATCTGTTAATATGAGAGATCTCCATGATTATTTACGAATTTGATTACTGTGTAGGATATACCACAATATCTTCGGTGGCATTGTTATTTGCTAAAACAACGTTACAAGTTCCAGCTGTGGGTCTAATTGCCATTGCCTTAATAGTTCCACTATCTGCTCTATTTGGAACGATCATAGTGCCAAAATTTCAGTCATATTTCAAACTAACAACAAAGCAAACTGTTATATTATTAAATGTTTTATTATTATGTATTCCTGTTTATGGTTGTTTTGGTTTTGTTTTGCCATTTGGTGGTTTGAGATCTGGTACAGAACTTTATTATTTAGCTGTTTGGTTTGGGATAGTTATCGGTTCTATTCAAAGCTATTGTAGAACTTTGTTTAGTGAATTGGTTCCTCACGGTAGAGAAACGGAATTTTTTGCTCTGTATGCAGTTACTGATAAAGGATCAAGTTGGTTGGGTCCGACTTTGGTTGCCATCATTACTGGTATGTCGAATTTTGTTGATTTTTGTGATATTCCATAGCATATCTAAAATTTTTTTTTCTTATAGATATTATGCACGAAATTCGATTTGGATTTGTATTATTATTTTTCCTTATTCTATTTCCTATACCTATTCTTTTGTCTTTGAATGTTACTAAAGGAAAAGAAGACGCCAATAAGGTTTCTAATAAACATGAAATAATTATTTGATGAATTAGCGATTAGAGTTATATATGAGCTAGGTACTGAAAAAAATAAACAAAATTGACAAAAAATAAGTTTTGTGGAAAACAGATTTTTATATTATAAAATATATATTAAATCATAAATTAAATCATAAGAAAATATAAACTTTAAAAGGCTATATTGTAAAATTTTAATAAACCAACATTTATTCCTTAAGTAAAAAATATTTAATTTAATATTAGTTAGGCTTAACTGCTTTTGAAAAAATTGTTAAGCCTAAAAAATTAAAAAAAAGAAGTTTGCTAAGTAGCCAATAGGTTGCTAATGGGTTGGGTTGAGCTATTTCTCAACCCACTTCAACTTGGATTGAACTCACTTTGGAGCCACTCCAAATTTGCTTAGAGCTGCTTCAGTTTACTCCAGTTTCGCTTCAGCATATTTTTAACCAAACCTTTAACTACTAGTTGATCTCCACCGGTAATACAGAGCAGTTTACTTAGAAAAAATATTAAAATATTTTTTATAAAAAAAAAAATTCAAAATATATACTAGTATATATATATATACTGCATTTATATATATAATTTGTAAATTTATATAATACAAATCAAAAATTAATTTGCTTAAAGTTAGATTAAGTTTAGAGTTTAAGATTTGGATTAAGAATAGTTTATACAAGCAACTTTCGTTAATATTAATCTTGTTAATATCAAGTTTTTATTAATTATTAATATAAACTAGGACGAATTTATCTATCACCCAGGGTGATATTTGATATTTTTCACCCATATAATTTTTAATATTAAATTTTTGATTTTTATACTTTAATTATAAATTTTATTATTATTTTTTATTAATATAATGTCATAGTAGAAACTTTATTACAAATAGAAAAATAATTCTAAACTTAAAGATTTCTAACTACATTTGTGTTACATAAGGTACCCAATGTGATATTACATCCCTTATTTCTTATAAAATGCTATAGTTAATTATTTTAAACTAATTTCTAGCTAGAATAGGTTGGAGGAGACCTAAGGTAATAGTCATAGTATTAAGTAAAGCATGCAGTTAAAGCATATTTTTGTAAAAGTTATTTATTGTCACAGATTAAAATGAAATCTGATCAAAATGAAATTGGGGACCTCTCATACCCACCCTTAGAGCCTATAAAACCCACATATACTCATTTATTAATAAACCTAACCCTAAACCCTACCCCTAATGCTAAAAAGAACCCCAAAAAATGTCACCCAAAAAATTTTAAATTTTCCTTAAAAAACAGAAAAATTTCGTTTTGATTAGATTTCGTTTTAATCTGTGATATTTATTAATAATGAGATTAATATCTAAAGGTTGTATCATAATTAAAGAATTATTTGAAGAAGTAAATATATTTGGAAAGTAGGATTTTGTGCATTTAGCTTTGGTGGTGATATTTTAAGAAAGTTCCTATTGATGTTGATAGATATTATAAATAGACTATAGTTCTTGACAGTATTAAGATAAAAGATTATTAGAAAGATTAATAAGAAAAGAATTAGTATGTTTGTTAAGTAATATTTTAATATATTGTATATAGTAGTTGAAAAAGTGTCAGTAATTGTATATAGTATAGAGAGGTAGTGTAGATTAGAAGAGTTGGCAGTAAAATTTAGTAAAATATTAAGAAGAGTATTAGAAAAATTGGTAGAAATTTGAAGAGTTGTTAGAGTTGTTTGAATTATATTGATGAGATTATAAGAGAGATTAATGTTATTGTTTAGGTAAATAAGAAAATGAAGTGTGTTTTCAAGGTTGAAACATCGAGAACATGCTGATGTATTGTAAAGATGAGAGTAGCAAATATTAAGATTTTTCATAGTAGAGAGATTGTTTATAAAAATTTTAATATAAAAAGAATATTTAAATATATTATATTCTAAAGATTTTAGTATTTTGAAGTTTAAAGCCTATTTAATTTCTGGATGTTTTTGATAAACTTTAGTATAGACTATTTTGAGAGTTCTTAAATTATAATAGTATTTTTAATAAAAGTGTATATTTTAAATAGTATTAGGTAGTTATTCTATGAAAAGTGATTTGGAAGGAATAGAAAAGAAAATAGAATATTCACTTTGGAATATCCTTTTTTAGCAAGTGAATTAGCTTGGTTGTGAAAAAATTATTAGAATAAGATTTGACTTTGTGAAGTTGTATATTAATGTTTTTAGTATTTTTAAGATAGTTTATAGAAAAGATAATATCCCAATTTTTGTTTCGTATAAGTTTGGTAGAAAAGGTAGATTGTAGTTTTTTAATTGCAGTTTTGTTATCAATATAGATATTGATAGAAAAGTTAGATGGCAAAGCAAGAAGAAGACTAAAGATTATCTCTAGTTCAATACAAATAGAGTCAAGAGTATGAATGAGTAATAATATTAAAGCAGATAGAGATATGAGATTTGCAAACCCATCTTATACTAGTTTGGATATTTGAAGATTGGATATTTTTAATAAAGCCATCTGTATAAAATTCTAAACTGTTGTGATTAAAATTATTTATAAAATGAAAGAGTTGAATTAATTGATTTTGGTAAGTAGGTGAATTTACTGTTTGTTGAATAAGTTAAACTTTATAGGGAGGAATATTTAATTAAGGTTGAGGTAGTAAAGTAGTTGAAACTAGTATATAATTATTAGTATGAATAAGAGCTAAAATCTCTTGATAGTCAATTTGTAATTAATTATTATAGAACTTAAATTGATTGTAGAGAAGCTTAAAGGAGTAAAAAGTTGATAAGGATGGTAATATAGAGGAGGTAAGTGTGATAAAACCAGGTATTGAATTTGTAATTTTATAGATATTAAGTTGTATAAAGTTAATTTGATGAGATTTGTTGATTATTTGTATAAAAAATTTGAAAAAAAGAAGAGAAATTAGAAGAGAAAGAAAGTAGAAAATCAAAAGTATTAGTGAAGATATTTGTAAAAGAAAGGTTAAGAGAAGGCCAGATTGTAGATATAGAATTTGTTTGATTGAGTTGAGAAATTTGTATAAACTATGAAGGTTGACAGCCTTTGGCTGGTTTATTTATATGTAAATAAATATTGTTTTATAGAAGAAGTTTGGTATTATCAGCAGTAGTAATTTGTTCGACAAAAAGTATTTTGTTATTTCTTAAACTATTTAAAGTCGAAAGAGGTGGATTTGAGGTAAGAATATCATAAATTGTAGATGAGTTTTCAGGAATATTTGTAGGATAGGATGAGATTTGTGAGTAATTAAAGAAAGAGATATTTATGTTTGGCTAATTGTAAAGATAGAAGATTAAAGTGAAGTTGTTTGTTTATAATAGTGTTTGTTTAATAGATTAGTAGTAAGCCTAGAAACCAGACTTTGATAAGCCAAGCTTTAATATGAAGAGTTTCTATATTCATAAGAATAGATAAGAAATTGAATATATATACAATGTTTGAAGCACTTAGTTTTTGAATAATATTATTTAGAGTAGATAGATTAAAAGAGAGTGGATTGGCAAAAGTAATATTATTAATATTTTTTGCTAGAAATAGTATTTTTTTGAATTGAATAGTAAATAATTAAGATAATTTAGTTTGTATATTTTTGTAAATTGAGGTTATTTGTAATAAATATTCAAGTGAGGGTTGTAAAATTAAGTTAAATAGTACTGATATTTGAGAGAGTATTACTTTTTTGTATTATATAAAATTGAGAAAATTTTTAATTTTGTTAAAGATTATATCAAGTGTAGATTTGAATAAGCTGTTACTATTATAAAAAACTCTAAGATATCATATAACATTATAAAGTTTTTTAGAAATAATAGCTTGGTTATTTGCATAGAGAGTAGATGATAAAGATGAAAATTTAGATTTAAAGTGAAGTAGATCTAATTAGTAATATTAATTTCAATATTATTAAGTTTGTAAAGGATAGATGTATCATTTAAAATATTTTGCATTATAGCTAGATCTTCACAATACTAAGTTGTGTCATCTATATAAGCTAGTAGAGAAATAGTGCACAGGTCCAAGTTTTAAATTTTGGTAACATTTCTGTGAGATATCAATATAATATCAGACACCAATTTATCTGAAAGCTTACTGATATTTGGTGCTTATCTTCATCTATCGGCAGAATATCGGCTTCCAATAGTCCTATTGAATATATAATATTTTTAAATAAAGTATTATATATCTGATAAGCCTATTGAAAGCTGATATTCTGCTGATAGGTAAAAATACATGCCAAATATTGGTAAGCTTTTAAATAAATTGGTGTCTAATATCTCACTAATATCTCATAGAAATGTTACTAAAATTTAAAACTTGAACCTGTAGTGATTAATAAAAAGATCATGTTTGTAATAATTTCAAGAAGAGATGTGAAGAAATTTTGAGAAAATAGTTTTGATATTTTTGGTTTATAAAAAATAGAATAGGATTATAGTAGATTTTCTAGAGTAGAGATGAGTAAGTTTTACTTTGTTCAATACTAGAGTTGAGTTAAATAGGTGAGATAAGCCCATAACTAGTAATAACTTTGACGAGATGGAAAGTGTAGAGTTCTGTAATAAAATTAATATCTGTAGTTAGAATATCTATTCTTTTGCAAGTATCTTAAAGTCTTGAGATATTAATTTTGTCAAAAGCTTTAGATATATCTTGAAAGAGAATTCAGACTTCTTTGTTACAAGATTTATAGTATTTAATAGTATTGTTGAGAATTTAGATAGGAATATGTATAGAGAAATTTTTTATAGCTGCAAAGTTTAGATTAAAGAGGAGATTATTTGAACTAATAATATTATTTAATTATTTAATAAAGATTTTTATAAGTGTTTTTTGAAG